TTATTTCTGAATAAAAAGATCTGATTCAAAATTTTGTTGCACTTGCATGCTATTTATTCTTGAATAAAAAGATCTGATTCACAATTTTGTTGCACTTGCATGCTATTTATTTCTGAATAAAAAGATTTGACCCCAAATTTTGTTGTGCTTGTACGCTGTTCATTTTTGAACGAAAAGATCTGATTCAAAATTTTGTCGTTCACTTTCGAATAGAAAGATTTGATCTAAAATTTCGACGTTTACTTTTGGATAAAAAGATTTGATTCCAAATTTTGTCCTACTTCTATATTGTTCATTTTTGTACAAAACGATTCGATTCGAAATTTTGTACAACTTCGACGTCGTTTATTTCTTAATAAAACAAAAATGTAACGTAAAAACGACGGAATTCTTTCCGACCTCGGCCGAGAAAACCCGTTCGCTGGAGAACCGGCAGAAGTCTCTCCGGGCTTCCAATCAACGGACATCATCTTCCGATCCTCTCCGGGTCGGTTCGAGGAGGACGTGGGCGCCTGTCAAGCCAGGTGAGTCGATAAGCCGCCGCTGGGCATCCCTCTGCGAGTTTGCGATAAGCCGCTCTACCTACAACACACTCATGCTCGCACTCAGCGCAACGTGGTTATCCATTATCTAGGAGAAAACCGGCCACGTCCGTAAGAGGCGAGAGCCGACAAGGCGGCTTGGACCAGCTTCCGGGTCCGGTCCGAGGTCGAAACATCGCGAAGGCGATCCGGCGAGCTGAGAAATCAAGGTCGAAGCCAGAGATGCGCGCTATCTTTATAGTCGCGGAAACGATTTCTTAACACTTGGCCCTCCGAATGAGGAGATCTCCCCGCTTTAAATTAAGTCGCTCGAATCAAGTCGAATAGAAGAGAAATCTCCAACTTTTTCCTCAGCAACGCGTAGAGGAAAAGACGATTGTTGTTCGATTATTGTTCTGCTCGATTATTTTTCTTCTTGTCGATCAGCCTCGATCTGCAGATTTTCGCGAATTTTTCTTCCTTCATAAAACCGCCGCGTCAGCCATACGTGGGTGACAGAATTGTTCGAAATTTAATTTCTAAACATTGATTCTCTCTTATAATTCTATATTATACTCTAATTATAATGTCTTAATTTTATACAGATTTGCAAGTGGCGCGAACGTCGAAGAAGCAATCGATGCGTTACAAGTTTGCTTCGCGATTTTTATTTCGTTGAACAAGACCCGACGATTTTTCTCTAATTTTGTGACATTTTTTAGGATTTTGCGGTCGCGATAGCGTCGCGATCATCTAAAATTGTCGCTATGACGTTTCGTTATCACCGGAGTTAAATGTCAGCGGTTTCGTACAGCGATAGCGGAATAACGCCGCACAATGCGGGAGGGTGATCGGCTCAGGCGTGAAGTCGGAGCGTCGAATAAAACCGCCAGACAGGGTGAAAATCGTTTCACACGAGGGAAATTAATAATCTCTAGAGCCGATGTGTTATCACTGACCACAGTCGCGTATCATATCCCCCGCAAATGGAGTCTCTGTCGAAGCATCCGGATATCGCTGCAGGCACTTTCGCCCGTTAATACGGAACGCTCGGAACGCCCAGCACCCCGTGACAATCGAGGCAATTCCTTTTGCCGTGCGCCGATTTTCCGTGGATACCCGGTTTTCCACCTTTATTCAAGCGGGTTCGACTTTTTCGCTGACGATCGCCCGCTACGGACGCGAACGCGTTGCAGTTAATTTCACGTACCTATGAAGATGTCGAAAAAATTTCAATTTTCTTCCGGGAAAGGCGAACATTTAACAGAGCGGTTTCCGGATTCTCTTTGCGAGTTCTACGATGTTCTCAGAGCTGGCAGAATTTTTCTGCAAATTTTACGATCTCTCCAGCGGTTTCGGGATTTTTTTTGCGATTTCTACGATGTTCTCGGAGCTACTGGAATTTTTCTGCTAGACCTACGATCTTTTTAGGAACGTACGAATTTTTCTGCACGATCTACGATTGTTCCAGTGGTTTCAGAATTTTTTTGCGACTTCTACGATGTTTCCGGAGCTATCAGAATTTTTCTGCAAATTTTACGATCTTCCCAGTAGTTTCGAGATTTTTTTGTAACTTCTACGATGTTCTCAGAGCTTCCAGAATTTTTCTGCATGCCCTACGATCTCTTTGGAGGTGTCAGGATTTTTCTGCAACCCTTACGATCTCTTTGGAGGTGTCAGGTTTTCTCTGCAAGCCCTACGATCTTTTTAGAAGTATCAGAATTTTTCTGTACGATCTACGATCTTTCCAGCGGTTTCAAGATTTTTTTGCAACTTCTACGATGTTCTCAGAGCTTCCAAAATTTTTCTGCATGCCCTACGATCTTTTTAGAAGTATCAGAATTTTTCTGCACGATCTACGATCTTCCAGCGGTTTCAAGATTTTTTTGCAACTTCTACGATGTTCTCAGAGCTTCCAAAATTTTTCTGCATGCCCTACGATCTTTTTAGAAGTATCAGAATTTTTCTGCACGATCTACGATCTTCCAGCGGTTTCAAGATTTTTTTGCAACTTCTACGATGTTCTCAGAGCTTCCAAAATTTTTCTGCATGCCCTACGATCTTTTTAGAAGTATCAGAATTTTTCTGCACGATCTACGATCTTCCAGCGGTTTCAAGATTTTTTTGCAACTTCTACGATGTTCTCAGAGCTTCCAAAATTTTTCTGCATGCCCTACGATCTCTTTGGGGGTGTCAGGATTTTTCTGCAACCCCTACGATCTCTTTGGAGGTGTCAGAATTTTTCTGCAAGCTCTACGATCTTTTTAGAAGTATCAGAATTTTTCTGCACGATCTACGATCTTCCAGCGGTTTCAAGATTTTTTTGCAACTTCTACGATGTTCTCAGAGCTTCCAAAATTTTTCTGCATGCCCTACGATCTCTTTGGAAGTGTCAGGATTTTTCTGCAACCCCTGCGATCTCTTTTAAGGTGTCAGGATTTTTCTGCAAGCCCTACGATCTTTTTAGAAGTATCCGAATTTTTCTGCTCAATCTACGATCTTTCTAGTGATTTCAGGATTTTTTTGCAACTTCTACGATGTTTTCCGAACTATCAGAATTTTTCTGCAAGCCCTACGATCTCTTTGGAGGTGTCAGGATTTTTTTTGCCAGCCCCACGATCTCTTTAGAAGTACTGGAATTTTTCTGCACGACCTACGACCTTTCCAGAGGTTCCAAGATTTTTCTGGACGGTCTAACGACCTTTTTAGAAGAATCAGAATTTTTCTGCATGACCTACGGAGCTTTAGGGAGTATCTTGAGATCTAATCCAACGTTTGGAAATCGCTTAAAGAAAACGAGAGCGTTATTTTCCATTAGGTCGACCGTCTCAAGACGTCGACGTCTCAGTCAGCTGCTTAAGTCAGAAACGGGTTCATCGCTCGCGAGATTTGCGGAGCGAAGCGGCGGCGCTTTGCCCGCGGATTACGCAAATTCGACAGCCGTCCCTGAACCCTGGTTGAACGTTCGTTCGCTGTATTAGCCGAGATGAGAAAAACTCGGGACAGCTGCGCGACGCCACTGGCCTGCGAACGGATGTTAATTGCGATCCGACTTCTGAGTTTTAAGCCGCGGCGCCGAATTAAGCCGCGGGATCGCATCGGCGAGATTCGACGATCGTTGTACCGAGTTTTTACGAGATCCGAATGCTTAGGCGGGGATTTGAAGATCCCGCCAAGCGACTCGGTAAGAAAATATCCTACTTACATGGGAACTGGCCGGACTGACGTTCGACGAGTCGAAAGTGGCGGGGAGGTTTGGTTCTTACGAAAATGCAGCAAATATTCTCGAATTGTCGCACAGCTTGTACACAAAAAAGGACAACTTTGGGAGAGGAGACACGATTATTCGAGCCTCGCGACTCATTTTTATGGTTGTTGACAATCGACAAATATAAAACGAGCCGCGAGACTCGCATAATCGTATCCCCTCTTCCCAAGTTGCCCATTTTCGTTTACAAAGTGAGCAACAATTTGGGAGAATTTATTGTAGCGATCGCCGCGTACACCGCAAAGATATCAGAACGCAGAAAATTAGAATTACAGATAATCGAATAGGTTTCAGAAACCTTCTTCAATTGTTATAATTTCCGAAATTTATAGTCGATCATATTAAACCGTAACAAGTACATAAACGTATACAAATATTTCAGCATAGAAAAATGTTCGATCAAAATTGGCCAACTTCGATCGACGATAACTGCGCGAAAAATCATCGTAGGATAATGATCTCGATTTCAAATTAAAGCTTGAAACCTCTACTTTAAGACACTGTATCTGGATTTCGAGTTTGACGCATCGTCACCGTTGTAACCCTTTAAACACCAGGCCATGTTTTCCATACTGAAAATTGCCAAGTTCGACGAAATGCACGGGCTCCGTAAAATTGTTTACCGGGACTGCATTTGCAATTAAACGAAGCTCGATCCTTCCTCTTTAATTTACAAAAAAAGAGAAACGCGTCTGCGATTTTTTCTCACGAAGTTACAGGACTTCAAAGTAACCTCTGCATTTCTCAAAGGAGAGGTTCCAAGCTTTAATTAAAAAAAAATTCTTCTCCGAAATTATGATAAGCTATAATTAATTATTTTAACTCGGAACACGATTCTGTTCTATTCGCGTCAATATTTAAGCATTAGAATTAACGTGGGCACGCGATAAATGTATATTTCTTTTTCTGCGAAAAAATGATTGAAATCGAAAAGCCTCTACTCGTTTCAATTATGAAGAAAATAATACGGCAAAGGGCTTCCGGTAAACAAAGCGTCAACATTGACAGAGCGAGCTCGTAGAAATATCGTTCCACCCTCCACAGAAGATCAAAAACGAAAGGGTTTCAGCGTCGGGGGATCGTTGGATCGCCGGCGATCGGTGACAGAGCTCGAAATGACTAATTTATCACGCGAAGCTCGGGATCGCAGACCGTAGAAAAACGGTTGCAGAAACAAAGTGGATTATCGGAACAACGTCAGCGGTACTTACAGATTGTAGTGCACGTCCGCCATGTTCGGTCGATAGCTGAGCGCCTGGACAAACGCTTCCTCCGCCTCCGCGACGCGTCCCTGCGCGCTCAGGACGCTGCCCAAATTACCATAAGCTGCAACAATCACAACGGGACCACTCGTTACACAACGGCGAACGGTTGCGCGAAAAACAGCGGACAGCTGAAGGCAAGGGAAACGAGGGAACAGGGTGGCAAAGGGGGCTGGGGGTTGGGCGGGCTAGAGCAAAGCACCTGCTAATTCGATTCGCCTTAAGCCGGCCGGATCGGCGCGTTTGCGACTCTCGTCAGAGGGTCGGCGTTCTTCGACTCAAAGGAGATTCTCCGGTTGCGCGCGGATTCGCTGCACCGCCGAGGTTTTTACCCGTCGTTTATCCGTCCCGGCGAGGATTAACAAATCGGCAAGGACCTGCCGGAATATCCGGCAACAGCGTTTAATCTGTTGCGCTACGAACGATCCTCGTTTTTAGCGGAGACGCGTCGGGATACTGATTCTTAGATTCGCGAGACTCGGATCCGAAACGTTGAACTGGAAATTCTCGAAACACGGTATGCTTGTTCCTTTTTTTCATTTTTTTTTTCGAAAGGGAGTCCAATTTGAAATCTTGACGAATTCTTTTCAGAATGTGAAATTGTTTATTGAATGTAATTAGAGGTGAAAGTTAAATGTAGTTGTAGTTTAATTTTTTCTCGATGTAAGCTTGTGAACTGTAAATGTTTGTAAATTGTTTCTTTTCATTCAAAGGATTATTTTTTACTGTACAGTATTGACCCAATACAATTGTACATGATTATTATTATTAAACATTATAAAACATGTAATCTTTGGTTGACTAATTCGTCTAATTCATTTAGATAGTGTCTCATTGTTTTTTTTATAATTATATATATTTATATTGAGCATGGAAT